ACAATTCAATACATGTCGTTAATTAACTCTTAAATAACTGTTAAGTGGCATTTGAAAAAGACATAAATGCCCTTTAAGTGTTATTTATTTTTCTTTATCAACCATCTAAATGTTGTCAAAAAATTAACAATCCCAAATTTTTGCCTTTTTCATTTAAGAAAGTTGGGGTCACATAATTGAGTGGACATTCTGGTGACCCCTACTTTCTTGAATAGAAGAGGCAAGAATCTGAGACTAGACTGTTAATATTTTGTCAATGTTTGGATGGTTGATAAAGAAAATTAGATGACACTCGAAGGACAATTGTGTCTTTTTCAAATGCCGCTTAAATGCTAGTTAACAGCAGGTACTGAATTGTCTCATTTTAAGTTTGGGGAGCAGCTGCAAAGTGGCACTAAGCCCAGAGTACAAAGTATTAATCAGAAATTTTCCCTATATATATACACCAAATAAAACAAAATTTTCATCTTACTGACAAGTTGTAAAAGACTAAGGCCCCGTTTAACATCATTTATAGGGATTCTCATTTCTCAGAATCCTTTCAAGAAAGAATGGATTCTGAGAATTTTCATTTTAAAAATCACCAATTTCTATTTGACACGGTTATTTGATTATCGTTTTTGAAGAGCAAAATCATATTTGGCAGCAACCAATTTCTTAATAATACAAAATGATCAGGAACTCTATCACCTGCAGCCATAAGGTTTGGACATGCAGGTCAAACACTATACTAGGACCTCGAAGTGGTTACCCCAAAATCTAAGAAGAGACTCATGAATGATAACAGTTTCACTTATAAAGTCGAAAGTCTTGGATAAAATACGGTTTCTTGGTTCATGCTTTATATCATAAAAAACAAAACAACTCACATAAAGAAATTGCTTTATACACTGAATTACAGAAAATTTTATGCTTCCAAACAGCCATCCTGACACAACTAATGCACTCAAATGGAACCTTGAACAGGGAGGAGATTCTTAGAACCAGAACATATCCAAAATCTAAGGCAACCTAGCAGTTGGATCATGGATGATAAGATACAAGATCCCAAATAGACCCCAAAACAAAGAACTAGCTAATGTTGAAAATCATTCAAGTTGTCTCCTTCTTTTAGTGACACTTCAATTGACTTTGGGAGTAATCCTGTGAATTGTGTTTGCATCAATACCCTTACTTGGAGGGAACCCTCAAGTTTGTCTATTTGCATCAAAAGATTTAGGATTCGTAACTTGCAAATTTTCATTGTTATCTCTATACCAAATAAACCAAGTAAAGAACTTTAGTTTGTAAAGCAATCGAACCCTTGATTGGCAAGTATTCTCTGTCATCATCATCATTAACACTAAGATCACTCTAGATCAAAAACATCAAAACTAGAACCAATACCAACTGAACTGGAAAATCAATCTAATAAGCATCAGAAATCATCATTCTTATTCTTGAAAATCTTGCACTAGACAAAATCCAAGGCTCAGGTAAAGAATAACCATGTCTCCAACGGTAGCCTATAGAGTTCCTTTAAATAATCACACACTATTTGAGTTTAGGAAAGACTAGTGTTGCAAGCCCATCCAAATGCTAGATTGTGATGGTTACTCCCTAGTGAACTCAGAGCTACCAAGGAGTATTTATTAGGAACTTGACAGATAATGGGCATCCAATCATACTTTTCCTTCTCTAAAAAAAAGACCATCCTTTCCTTTTGAGGCCTAATTTAATCAGACAACTCCCTTCAAACTGAAATAAAAGCCCTGTTGCAGGGCATCCATCTCAATTGGAGATTTAACAGAAAAGAATTAAACCAGTTGCTGCCGGTAGGTTAAGAATCTCTATTACTCTATTCTAACCTACAAATCAAGGTTCAAGATATCAATACGCCCAATACGTTAGTAGGGGTGTATCGGGCGAACCGATACCTTTTTTTTTTATTTTTTTCAAAACCAATTCAGGGGGCCGGTTTAGAGCCAAAGTACAGGTATTAGATTATTGTGTTTTAAAAGTTTAGGTACTGGATTATCGTATTTTAAAGTTTGATGACCAAATTGTCACTCGAGCCAAAGTATATGGTACTGATCGAGAATTTTCCCAAATAATCTGGGACATAATGGGGGGTTATTTCATGTCTGGATCTCCTCCCCGTAGAGTGCTCCTCACACCAATCTCACATCATATATCAGCCGCATATCGGGAACATCTCCCATATTTTATTATTATTATTCATGGGAGATGTTCTCAATACATGGTGGGATGTGGTTGTGAGGTTGGTGTGAGGAGCAGACCCCAATTCGATTACTTCAATGACACCTCATCAGTCATCAACAAGGTTTTTGAACCGTTGTTGATTTGGATAGTCAGACCATTTTGCCCGGGAACTGTCCAAGCAACCAATTTCATTTTATCCCATACCCAGTCCCTGGCCAAAAACCGTTGAATTGATCAACAATCTATTGAGCGGTCAAACCATTAACCTATTCAACCCGTTCAACGGTTTTTAGTCTTTAATTATTTATTTAATTTTTTTGTCATAACAGGTCATCTATTCGATCCGAACAGTAGAACTATCAACCTAAAAACCGGTGACCAGAACTATTTCATTTTCAAATCGATTTTTAAAACATTGGTCATCAATATTCTTCCTTACTATTTTTTTATTCATTTTTTATTTCTTGTGGGAGAAACCTGCAGGAGTGGATTTGGAATGGAATTATACTTTTTCCCGTGGATTCTTAATTAACCACTTATCGCCGGGGCTCTGGTATATATTCTGTTTAGCTTTAAAATGGGTGGTCATTTGGAGTTTTGGACACATCCTACTTTGTTATTAGTCAATGATAGGCTTATTGTTTAGGCCGTAAAACTAGGGGCATCCCTTTGTCTTTCTTTGATCGTGTTCCCCAGATTATAAAAAATAATGGCATGTGCTCAATTAATCGATCATGTTCCTTTGTCGGCGAAATTTAATCCCGTGGTTAACTTGACCTGATTGCGTTTAGGGCCTCGTTCATTTTTCCGTACCTAAGAGGTAATATGCTTGCCGGACAAGTGTTGTTCGGGCAAAAGTCATCGATCTGAAAAGTATTTTAATAGTCATCAGGAGGTAAGCAACTTATCCATCCCCAACAAGTGTATTAATTTTCGGGCTCAATTGCAAAATCAAAGGATGGACCATCATGTTAGGCCCCACTTGGAAATCCCATCTTGTTAAATGTCAAAGTACCAAGAAAGTATCATGCATTGCAACTTGGACCAATTCTATTAGTCCGAAGCATTATAAAATGCCAATTTTGGACCAACCCGATTGCAATCCAATGCATCCAAAAAGTTACAGTAGTAGGAGTAATATGATGATGACGATAATGATGATGAAAAATTTATAATGCTGGAAAGAATTTTGATTAATCAAAAGCCACCTATGAATTTTGATAAATAATATCTTATTCGTTATCATATTTATGATTCTAATCTATTGGTCAATTGTTTTTTTGGATATCATATCTTTTTCTAGTCGACTTCGAGATGATGATAATAATAATAGTAGTAATGATTTTTCTATTTGCCTTCAATGAAATCTTCATGTCCAAATCAAATAGCCATTGTAGCGGAAATGGGACCAAATCCCACCCACACGAGGGTGGGGGGATGTATTACCCCCATTGTTTAGTCCCAAGGAACCAGAGTTTATATTGGCAAAGAAAAAGGTTGCCTTATAGAACATTCGCCAATTTGACATATTCTTTTACTCATTTTTTTTTAACTCTGAAAGAATGAGGTTGTTCTATTAAAGATAAAAAAATATCGAAAAAATATAATGAATAAGAAAAGCAAGCACAAAATTCATCGTGATCATCCAAGCCTACCACCTATCTGGAAAAATAATTTCATTTTCTATATGTTTTTGAAATTATGGAGCCTTATATGCTCTTTCTATCATGGTTTTCAAAACCTTATCAGGCCAGACGATTGGACCGAAAAAACCAGGAACTGGCTCATTTTTCCTCAAAACCGCTTTTTTCCCCAAACCCGTTGATTTTGGTCAATAAACCGCTGAACCGGCCGGTTAATCATTTGAACGGTTTTGACCGTTTTTCAGTTTTTTAATTTTTTTAATTTTTTTTGTCAGAACGGGCTAACTGTTCGAATTAGTAACCGGACCCCTGACAGGTTCGGTCACCAGTTTGGTTTTAAAAACCATGCTTTATATCGTTAAAAAAAAATAACTCTAAGGGGGCGTTCTTTTTTCGGATCTTGAGAGGGGGAAAAGTTGGTCAATAGGATTTTGTTTCCTATTGACCAAGAATCTCATGTTCTATTTTCATATTTATGTGGGGACCTGAGAAAGTTTATTTTCTTAAATATACCCATCTCTTAACTTTCCCACCTAAGGGGAAAGTTGCCAGCACTTGAACACGACAAAAATACCTTTTTTAATTATAGATTTTTATGATTAAAATGATCATTGCCTTATTTAGGCAAAGATTTTTATAGCGTGACACAAATATGATAGTCGTAAAGCACCCATGACTTTGTTTCAGTCGGCTAATCCCAAGTTCAAAAAAGAAAACATTATTTAATAATAATAATTAAAAATGGGCAAGCCCAAACTCGACCAGATCTCTTCAAGCTGGCAGCCGGGCCGCTGGACCAAGATCGGGGTTGGGGATGATCTTGGGGCTCAACAACTCGATCGGGTTAGGAGCAGTGTAATGTCTCAGGCCGGGTAACTAAAACTCAGATCTCCAAGTAGGTCTTGATCAGCATATATAGAAATTAAGACTGAATTGATAATGTATGTAACTGCTTGTAACAAGACTGTCGGAATAAGAAAAAAAAAAAAGAAAACAACTGCTTGTAACGAGACTGAACTGATAAACTAAGTCATAATATAATAATAAAAAAAACAAGCATAAACGCGACCGGCCTGTTGCTGGATTAATGCAGTAACATCTTATTTCATAGAGTTCAGTTCGATCATACTGAGAAGCTTTTCGGCTATAACTACTTCAATTCCTTTTCGGCACGAAGATCCTTGCCCATACGTGCTTTCCATTGATCACAAATTTAACCTTGTCCTTGCCATCAAGTATCATTGCTATGGTCGAAGCAGAACGGAAAACCAAACGGGCAAATAGTGGTTGCATGCTGGGCGGAACCTCTTGCATTCGGATGGCCTCAATGCAATCTCCATAGTTACTGCAAAATTAAACCAAAACAGAATGATAATGTTCTTCTGTGTGTATTTGTGTATGAGAGAGAGAGAGAAAAGGAGAACGAACCTCTTGAAAAAATCTATCACTTCCCGTTCTGACAACGGGTAGCCTTTGGAGAACGTGATGAACATTGTCCGGTCATCCGGTGGAACTTCTTCTGTGGATGTGGAGTTCCAGGATTGAGCGTTCGGGTTCAAGTTGGATGGTTCTTCATCCAGTCGAACGAGAGGCTGATGAGGGTAAACAGCAGAGGAAAGCTGCACTACATTATCGGCTTCCCCAACTGCGACCAACCGCGGATCACCAATTCTACCGGCAAAGGAACGGATCAATGGATGAAGCGAATTCACTGCAGGCAACTCAGCTCCAGGCAGAGGCGTCATCATCGTTGCACCAACATTAACACCTTCACCTACAGGCGGCGGCCTTGCGCCGTGGACGGGTGCAGCAGTTAACTGTGCGGCATTGGCTAAAGCCGCCTGGACTACATCGTCAAACGCTCTAACGCAAACGTCATTCAGAGCCTTGGCGATCCCACGGATCGCAGTGAGCCTGTTATCATGAAAAAACTGAAGGGATATATCTTGATTCATGAGGCCGAGGGTGAGCGGCATATCAGTGCTGCAGGCTGACGACTGAGCGGGTGGTGGTGGAGCAACGTTAGCATCGATGCAATTCAGACACTGAACTGCTTCGTCCGCCACCGCATTCACCACTGCGTCAGGTAGCGATAACATCTTATGGATGATATTTGGGTAGCCCACGTCTTCAAGCCACAACCATAAGGCTATGACTTGCATTGACTGAGTAATGTCTCTCCGCATACTGAACACCATTCGAGAATAAAGTTCCCTGTCGAGAGCGTGAAAACACCTTAGTTCGTCGAGGGTGATCGGACGATCCATGGCAGAGAGAGAATGTCGGGCTGGCAAGTGTATTAGGGGAAGTGAGTGGTGCAGATAAATTTATCTGCATTTTGTGGAAGACGAATAGGTGAGATCGAAGTTTGAGGACTTTTGGCAGGTGTCCTTTCGAGGCCGAAGCACCCTGTGGAACGAGTGTGAATCGACTGAATGAGGAAATTCAGACGCAACGGTTCGAGGGACCGCCATTGAAATGGTGGGAAGTTGTTTGGCGGGAAATGAGTTGAGATCAAACTGAAGCAAAGCAAGCGATTCGGTTCGAGTATTCCACTCGGGATCTACTGCACACTTTCATTTTTTTTTTCGCTGCACTGGTTGTACACTGCAAACTAAGCGTTAATCGTGTGAGAGGATGATGAGGGTTCATGGGTAGAATAGAGGTCCGGCTCGAACCCCGGACCTATGGTTTATCATTTCAGCCCGGCCCGGGTTAGTGTATACCTGGGTTCGAAATTTCGATTTGGTATTTGACAGATATTAAAAATTAATATTCACATTTAAATTCGATTAAATATTTAAAAATATTCAATTCAATTTAAATTCAATCAATTAATTATTTAAAATAATTAATTAATCAAATTCGAATCGAATCGAATATTTGAATATTTAATTGGATTCGAATTTGGATATTGTTCTATCCGATTCGAATTCAATCCGTTTACACTCCTAGATTCAAGCTTATATTTCAAGTACAAAGCTTTGGGTCGAACCAGGCCCGGGCCTAGGTTGTAGCCCATATATCATAAGTGCAAAACATAGCCCAGGCCTAACCTGTGATCACCCGTACTCA